TGATCATCATTGAATGTGTAAGGTATATGTGACCAATATTAGAATTTTGTTATAATTGTAATGCATTATAGTGATGATTTTTATTGACAAAAGTTTATTTTATCTTTGTGATGAATTTTTTTGTTCATCATTAAATATGTATGCATCTGTGATTAAATTTTTAGATTATCACAATTGTGATAAGTTATAATGATGATTTCAAAATTTATCACAAATTTCTGTTACTAAAAATCATTTTTTTTAGTATTTGTTAAAGTTTTATCTATTGTAATAACAGTTAAATTAATTTTATTTTCTCATATTCAAAAAAAAATATCATGATATTTAATAATAATTATATGATAAATTTAATAAAATTATAAAATATATTTTTATATATTTAATAATTATGATTAAATATCTTGATATTAAAAAATATCAAGACATTTTGATTTTTTTTCTTATTATTAATAAATAAATATAAAAAAACTTTTAAAACTAATTATTAATGTTAATATTTAAATTATACTTTTTATATTTAATTTGATCTGAAAATAATTCTATTCAACGAAACACCACTACGTGGATTAATTTAACTTGAATCACTAAGGTACCAAAGAAACCAACTCAATTATTGATTTACGTACCACAAAAAGAAACAGATGACCTTATTTTATTAGTAGTAGTCCCAACACATTGAATCAGTTTTGCTTTCACGCATGCAGCCATGCCTATGCGTCAAAGAGCTGTCTTGTATCAGTAGTTTTATCGTTTTTCTCAAACAAACACCTCCTCCTTACGTACGCCTGACAAACTCTTGCTTATTTCATCTAGTAACTAGAAATAGTACTAACAAACCAACATAAATAAAAAATAATTTTTTTTTTCAAAAATTCGAGCTTAAACTAGTTTAAGTCCTCAACAGATGAAGTGTCTCGCAAGCTATCCACAAATTTTGAAACCTAGCAATTAGGTCTTGGACAAGCTTTGTAAAATTTTTTGTCTTGTGATGAGGGGGTTTTTTTCTAAATGAAATATCTCGCTTATACATATGATGATAATATGGGATAGAATACACCAATCAATAAGATTTTAAAGTAAGAAATACACTAGCTTAACTTCATATCAAAATTTCACAATCTTACATGTTTGCATAATTTAACAACTACAAAGAGACAAAAAAAAAAAAATTAAGATAAATAACATGCTTTTCTATTGTTAAATGATATCAAAATTAGAATACCAAAAGTTAAGTGAGGTCATATTGAAATTAAGTGTATGAAAAGATGATTTTACCCATGATTGAGAGCATGTATAATGACATGCTCACTTTGTGTTCTTTTACCAAAATAGAACAAAACTTTCATTTTCATCCAATGTCGCAAATTAAAAAATAGAGTCAAATTCACTATATCGAGCTTGACTCTCTTTAAATTTTTTTGCTTGAAAAGAATCAAAACAACGTCTTTTTAGCCCTCTTCCATTGTTTTCCAGCTGTAATGTTAGACTTTGCCTGATATGTGCAGGTGTGCTTGCCACCTCAACAAAGCCATTAATCGTACGTTTGGTGCGCCTACCACTTCAACCCAATCCAATAGTTGTTAATTTTTCTTTAATTTTTTTAAGTTAAATTTCTGTATTTAAATATATATACAATGTAGTTAGAAAAAATAATAGTTTTGTGATTTTTAAAAAAGTTTTGTTTTAAGAATATATATTAGGGTAAAGTGTTTTGTTAAATGTTTTATCTGAGAATTACAAATATAAAAGTGTGAGTTTATATAAAATAATATTAATTTTGATGATGGAGCGTCAATGTGAGCTTTTGTGATGTTCTCTACTATATTATGCTCTGAGACAGGAAGAGAACTACAAATGTTCATTTTTTAATTAAGGACCCAATTGCTCAATTTTAAAGGTTATTGATAACTTTACAAAAGGCTCTAAAATTGATGACCAAAAAATAGTTACCCTAAAAAGGAGGGGCCAGGTTATTATTAGAGGATGTGGAAACTTGCAAAGTGTAGTTATAGATCAGGCGGGAGTTTGTTAGAGTTTTCACATGATTCACGAATCTCCAGCTTCCTTTTTTTACAATGATCCTTTTCTCTCTTCTACCCCTTTTACTGCCTCATATTTACATCAAATGGCACCTTTTTTTTTTTTTTTTTGGAAATTTCCTCCTCTTATTGGATTACTATTACCAGTGAGTAATTGTTTTCAACTCCAAGACCAATCCCCTCCTTCTGCTTTGTGCTCTCTCTTTGGTTCTTCTTATATCCTGAATTCTAGTAAAAATGAAATGAACCTGGCCAAAGAGTAGTTAGTTACTTTTTAATCCCTTTACTATTCATTTGAGGATATATAAATCTCTCTCCTCTCCTATTCACTCTCCTCCATTTCCTTAAATCCAAATAAGTTTAATTTTTTTTAATGTATTTCAACTTTTTCCTTCTTGTTTTTGAAAATTGTATATATAGATTTTAACACAAAATTTATATTTAATTTAAAATTAATTTATAATAACTACAATAATTTTTTTATATTTAATTCACATAAGTTTATTATATTGTCAATATAAATTTTTTTTCTTCAACATCCTCCCCCTAATGTAAATTATTGGCAGCTAATT